CCTATCATGGCCATCTTACTGGAAGAACTAAATGCCTCTGGCCGGTGCACTCTACCCATTGGTATGGGCAGCCTCTACCGGGGCAGTATATGAATGGAGGAAGGATGGGAGAGCACAGAAATGAGCGTAGCCCCTGCAGGAGGACAGGATTCTTGGACAAGTTGGTGGGCAAGAAATAGCCGTGGGTTGAAACAGTGATGTCTGAGGGTTCAGTGTCTAATGGGGGTGGAGGAGCAGGCAGCAGAATTCTCCAGCACTACTGAAGAAGTATCTTGGCAACATTCTTCCCCTTCTCTGGGCCTTAGTTTCTTGCTCCATAAAAGAGGAAGAATGATCCTCCCAGGACCCGTCTGCCTGCCTCAGTTAATGCTAGGAGAGTTAAAGTAGTGACTGAGGGCGCCTTGGGAAAGATGACACTGAGGATGTGGTGGGGTCCCCGCAGATGAATCCAACACCATCCACTTGAAGGTGATTGAGCAGCGGCCTGACCCTCCTGTGGCTCAGGAGTATGATGTGCCTGTCTTTACCAAAGACAAAGAGGATTTCTTCAATTCGCAGTGGGACCTCACCACACAGCAGGTATACGCTATACAGGCCCTCTCTCAAGTATTACCACCTTGGGCCTCCCACAACCTTAGCTTCAGCTCACCCTTGCTGACCCTGCTTTCCTCTTTTCAGATCCTGCCGTACATTGATGGCTTCCGCCATGTCCAAAAGATCTCTGCTGAGGCGGACGTGGAGCTCAACCTGGTGCGAATTGCCATTCAGAACCTTCTGTGAGTGCAGATACAGTTGTGCCCACTTGAGGGCCACCAGACAAAGGGGAGCAAAAGGACCCCGAGTGTGGTGGTGGGAAGGCATGGTTTGGAAGCTAAGCGCATCTGTTTCCCCCAGGTACTATGGTGTTGTGACACTGGTCTCCATCCTCCAGGTAGGTGGGGCTGGGATATAGCTAAGTAAAATGGGAATCATTTGGCCTGGACCAGATCAAGCCAGACCCCCAAGCACATCATCCAAGTCCTTATGCCCCTGCTGTGTTCTAGTACTCCAATGTGTACTGCCCGACTCCAAAAGTCCAGGACCTGGTAGATGACAAGTCCTTGCAGGAGGCATGTCTCTCCTACGTCACCAAACAAGGTAGGGGCAAACCCTGTGGGAGACCCATTTGGGGAGGATAAGGCCACCTAGGAAGCTGACCGTGGCACCCACAGGGCACAAAAGGGCCAGTCTCCGAGACGTATTCCAGTTGTACTGCAGTCTGAGCCCCGGCACCACTGTGCGAGACCTCATCGGCCGCCACCCCCAGCAGTTGCAGCACGTCGATGAGAGGTCAGAGGGCATTCTCAGGCTTGCGCGCTGGGTTCAACTGTCTTGAATCTCTCTGGAGGAGCCTCGAGCCAAATAGGAAGCAGGGGATTCCCAATGAGTATAAATATGTGGCCCACTAGTCCAGGCAGCCTTCCTGGAGACGGTGACCTTGGAGGCCACCCTAGCCTGTAAGGCACTGAAGGAAAGGTTGGGTAGGCTAGGCTAGGGTACCAACGCTCTTCCCCAACCATCACTTCAGGAAGCTGATCCAGTTTGGGCTTATGAAGAACCTCATCCGGAGACTACAGAAGTATCCAGTTCGAGTGTCTCAGGAGGAACGGAGCCACCCTGCCCGTCTTTACACGGGCTGCCACAGCTATGATGAGATCTGCTGCAAGACAGGTGGAGGCAGGCGGGGCAGGCTGGGGGAGGTGAGGGCTGACCGACCCTGCAAGGCGGCTGACCTTGCCTCCCTCATACCACCAGGCATGAGCTACCACGAACTGGATGAGCGACTAGAAAATGACCCCAACATCATCATTTGCTGGAAGTGAGGCTGACTGGAGCAAATTGCTATGGCCACTTGCCCCTGCTACGCCCTCATTGGTCCACGGGGGCCAGACAAGTAGGCTCGTGCATATGGTCTGGAAGTGATCCTCGGTTCTGTGAATCAAGTCATCTCTTTCTCGTCCTGTGGAGTTTTGAATACTGGCTCAGCCAATCACTAAAGACGTGAATGTGCTAGTCATGCCAGCTAGCCTGGCCTGGCTGGAGTGCCATCTAGTGGACAGAAGTGGCAATGGCCAAGTAAACAGTATGGTTTTGGTTTGGTCTGGTTTGGTTTTTGTCTTATTGCGAGGGGAGTGATTTTTTTGAGACAGGATCTCACTATGTAGCTTTGGCTGTCCTGGGATTCACTATGTAGCCCAGGCTGGCCCTCAACTCATAGAGCTCTGACTGCCGTGTTTAAAGGTGTGTACCACTTCATCTAGGCACACATAGGTTTCTATATGTTTGTTGTTGTTTTCTATTTTCGCGGTGACTGGGGGAGGAGCGTGTTTTTTGAGGCAGGTTCTTATGTAGCACAGACTGTCCTGGAATCGGCTGTGTAACAGATGACCGTGAACCTTCTGAGTCTCCTGTCTCTGGTTCCTGGGTTACACTTAAGCTCCCACGCCCCCCGTGTATACAGTGCTGGGGCCGAGGCTTTGTGCATGCTAGGCAAGTCCTCTACCAACTCAGCTATGACCACAGCTCTGGACCTGCAAACCAAAAGAGCCAGACTCAGAAGGGACCAAGAGATGCTCCGGATTAGATTGCCAAGAAAGACCTCACTTGGGAGACGTAAGCTGGACCTTGCAGGAGTAAGAAGAGTATTCCAGAAGAAATAAGTTCAAAACCCTAAAGCAAGGGCCAAATGTAGTAGCGCATTCTTGCAATAACCAACACTCGGGAGGCTGACATAGGAGAGCTGCTTCAAGTTCAAGGACAGGTTGGATGTATGTGTTCAAAGCCAGCGTGGGTGACATAGTGACACCTTCCTCAAAAAGCCAAAGGAGTGTATGAGGAGCTGAAGGGAAGCCCATGAGGCTAGGACAGGGAAGCAAGCATGGGGTGCACACCTGAAACCCCAACATTTAGGAAGTTGACCAAGAAGGGGGAAAATTTGGACCAGCCCTGGCTCTACAGTGAGCTCCAGCTTGGTCTTAGCTGTATAAGGAGACCCTGTCTCAAAGAAAGAGGATGGGGTGCTGGAGAGATGACTCAGAGGGTAAATCACTACTGCTCCTGCAGAAGACTGGAGTTTAGTTCCCAACCCATGTGGGACAGCTCACAATTGCCTCTGACTCCAACTCCAAGGGTCTCAATGCCTCTGGCCTCTGTGTGTAAGCGTGTAAGCATTATAGTGTGAATGGAAAGGTGTCCTGGCAGCTGAGACAAGGAATACCGCAAAGTCACACCACACAACAAACCTCACACAAGATTTATTGGGAGGAAAAAAAAACAGGATGTACGATGTTTTACTCTTTGCTCTTTTGGGGACCTGTTGTCCAGCTTCAAGTAAACCCACACGGAGGCTTTTCCTTCCTTGTGAATCCCTGGCCTTGGCTTGCTTTGTGCCAGCTTTTCTTAAGTTATCCCATCTACCTTTTGCCTCCGGGCTTTTTCCTTTTCTTACTTTCACTCTTACCCCATGGCTGGGTGGCTGGGTGGGTGGCTGGCCCGCCCCTGGAGTACTCCCCTTGTTCTCTCCTTGCTCCTCTTCTTCCTCGGTTTTCCTTCTATTTATACCCTCTGCCTGCCGGCCCCTCCTATCCTCGCTCCTGCCTTGCTATTGGCCGTTCAGCTCTTTATTAGACTATCTAGTATTTTAGACAGACAAAGAATCACAGCTTCACAGAGTTCAACAAATGCAGCATAAACAAAAGCAACACACCTTAAAATAATATTCCCCAGTACCAGGAGGGCAGCTGCCTCTGTTGGAGCGAGAAACAGCAGCAAACTGAACAGGACACAGGGCTTAAATAGAGCTTCTTGGGAAGGGGGTAGAACTTTCCAGGATGGAGACTGATGGAAATTCATGTCCAGAGATTGAGCTTTTTACTCTGTAGGATGGAGCAGGGTCCAGCAGGTAGAGTACTTAGAGTATTCTGTGGGTGGAACCTGGCAGTTAGAGCTCCTCGGGATAGTGGCCTGGTCACTCCTGTGACTCAAGGGGCTTACACCGTGGGCACCTGCACACACGTGCGCTTGTGCACAGACACAAGCATAATTTAAAAATAAACTTAGGAGGGCTGGAGAGATGGCTCAGAGGTTAAGAGCATTGCCTGCTCTTCCAAAGGTCCTGAGTTCAATTCCCAGCAACCACATGGTGGCTCACAACCATGTGTAATGGGATCTGGTGCCCTCTTCTGGCCTGCAGCATACACACAGACAGAATATTGTATACATAATAAATAAATATTTAAAAAAAATAAAAAAAATAAACTTAGGAGGGGGATGAGACAAAAACTGAAGCTGGGAGGTAGGAGAAGGGGTGAGAGACAGGTCCTTCAGAGCTGGTAAGTGCTGTGGTCTAGCATTTTGGGTGCCAGAGGTAGGCACAGGGCATCCAGAAGAAAGGATGTTAGGTGTGCATGTTTAGGACTCCTGGCTGCTGGACTGAATCTGGGGACACAGGCCTTTGATTTCAGCACAAAGAGACTGAGCAGAGGCGGATCTCTATGGCTTGGAGGCCAATTTAATATGCATAGGGAGTTCCAAGCCAGCCTGGATCACAAAGTAAGACCCTTTCTCCAAAAAAATAAAGGACAGCTTCTGGGGAGAGTCTAGAGTGCAGTCACGTCGGTCTCATGAGAGACCGCTATAGTTACCCCATGAGAGTCTCAGACAGTGAGACTGCAGGAGAGGTAAGGATCCAAGTTATCCATAACTGCTCCGGCCCTGGAGAGGTGTGGCCAGTCTCCGTCTGCTTATTGGCAGGGAAGTGGGCGTGGCAAGCGGGGCATCAGAAGGACTCTACGCAGGCGCCAAGCTCACTCGTTTCCATGTCGACGAAATCGACGCGCCTCAACGGCTTAGCAACTGTTCTGTGCCAGACTTTGGTCCCGCCACTGAAGTCTGTCAGTTTCCCCTATTCCGACTCCTGCATTACAACCGCTCAAAAGCCAAACTAATCCTGGTCCCCCGACATGGGCGACCTAGAGCTGCTGCTGCCTGGGGAGGCTGATGTGTTGGTGCGGGGCCTGCGCAGCTTCCAGTTAAGGGAGATGGGATCCGAAGGGTGAGGCAGCTGCAATAGGTGGGGTCACCTGGTCCTTTAGTGGAGAAGCTTGGCACTGACATTGGAGAAGGGGTGGCCCAGTGTGGAGGGGGCTCCAGGTGGGAGGCAAAGCCCTTTGAGATAGAAGTGTGTGGCTTCTGCCGCACCTCTGGCCTCAGGACAGGATCACACTGGCTCCAGTAGATTGAGCCCCCACCTGCACTGTGTATTCCCGTTGCACATTTGTACACCCAATATACACACATCCCTTCGGGGCAGGTGGAACAAGCAGCATGAGAACCTGGAGAAGCTGAACATGCAAGCCATCCTTGATGCCACTGTCAGCCAGGGTGAGCCCATCCAGGAACTGCTGGTCAACCATGGGAAGGTATGTCAAGGTAGCTCAAATAATAAAAACCCAGGGACAGATACTGGGGTTCAAGCTGAAGATCAGAAAAGCAAAACGGCCAGCCCCTGGCACTTCCCTCTACCTCAGACCAAAATGGGTGATCCTACCTCCAGGAAGCCTCAGACTGAGACAGAGGAGACCTGCCTCCTCCGTTTACTATTCCTCTCTAGTGCTGGGATAAAAGGCATGCACCATGCCATCAGGCCTCTGTGGCTAACTAGTGTGGCTGCTGGATTAAAGTGTCTACTAATGTGGCTGCTGTGCACTTTGATCTCCAGTCAAGCTTTATTTATTAAAACACAAATAATGTACCATAATTTCTGCCTTTCTACTCTTCCTCTTGGGGACACTGGGTACCTGTTCTTCCTTCTGGCCTGGTATGTCTGTCATTCCTAAGTTGGGGAAAATGGGTTAGGTTTCTTCCATTTATTTTGAGATAAGGTGTTGATCGGCGACCCAGGCTGCTGTTAGCTCCCAAACTTCCTGTTTCTGACTCCCAAGTGCTGGGACTGCAGGCCTGCCCATCACTATGCTTGGCTCTGTTTCCTATTTTACCCTAGGTGGATACAAGGACTAATTAGGGAGACAGCCGTGGGTCCTAGACTTGCCTGGGAGGAAAACCCAAGTACTCACATCACCCTGAAATGACTGAGGCCAACGGAGACCCTCACTAAAGAGGAAGTGGGGCTTTCAAAGTGGGAAGAGCAGCCTTTCTTATGTAAGAGGAGAAAGTAGAGACCAGGAAGATGCCTGACGGGAGGAGGGGTCGGGGTGACCCAAGTGTGTGTAAAGGGGTTCCCCTGCGAGAAAAAGGCAGAGCTGGGCACTGGGAGATGTGTAGACAGAGACTGTTCATTTGTTTCCCAGCTGCCCAGGCCCAAATTAATCACACAGAAACTGTATTAAAATACTGCTTGGCCTATTAGCTTAAGCATATTACTAGCTAGCTCTTATATCTTAAATTAACCCATTTCCATTGTTTTATGTATTGCCACGAGGCTCGTGGTTTACCAGGAAGATTCAGGGCGTCTGTCTCCTTCAGCAGCTACATGGCATCTCTCTGACTCTACTTACACTCTCTCTCTCCACATCTCTGTACTTTCCGCCTGGCTTTACTCTGTTAAAGCAAAAACATTGGCCAAAAAGCAGCTTCTTTATTAACCAATGGCAATAAAACATATTCCCAGCATACAGAGGGGAATCCCACATCAGGGATGGTCTAGGAATAGGGCACAGTAAAGGGCCTAAGAGTGAGGTCACAGCATACAGCCTGGCAGACCAGGTGACAAAGACCAGAGTAAGGACATGAAAGGAGGGCTGACCTAAAAGAGAAGCCTGGCTGGTGAGGATGGGGAAGGTACAGAGGGACAGTAAAGTTTATCCACAGGTAAGGAGGCTGCTATCCTGTCAGAGATATGGAAACACGGAAACAAAGGCCTTACAGTACAGCAGGGACTCTCGGGTGCTTACGGAACCTGAGGGGCGGGTCTAGGGGCCCAGGAGAGTTGGAGAGCTGTGATGCCAAGGCGGGTCCATGCCATTTCTCTTCGTCCCCTGCCCTTTGCAGATCCCCACACTGGTAGAAGAGCTGATCGCGGTGGAGGTGTGGAAACAGAAGGTGTTCCCGGTGCTGTGCAGGCTAGAGGACTTCAAGCCCCAGAATACCTTCCCCATATACATGGTGGTGAGCTGGGCCTTCACAGGGTCCTGAAGACGAAAGCTAGCTAACAGCCCCTGTTCCTCCCTCACAGCCCAGCCCTGTTCTCTTTGGCAGGTACACCATGAGGCCTCCATCATCAATCTTCTAGAAACAGTGTTCTTCCACAAGGTGAAGCACCATCCTTGTCAAGAGGCCATTTCTGCAGGCCCGAGCCTGGTGGGATGGATCTGTGGAAAAGAGTATCATCAATATCGAATACTGAACTGTCCCCTCCCTGCCCCCAGGAGGTGTGTGAGTCAGCAGATGACAGGATACTGGACTTAGTGGACTATTGCCACCGCAAGCTGACACTGCTGGTGGGCCGGACTGGCTGTGGTGACCCATCTGAGGAATTATCCCAGGATAATACCCCTATGCAAGTAAGTTAAGGTTTCCCGGAGGGGGCCAAACCTTGAAGTGAGGCCTCCAGAGGTAGGGGTGAATGCTGTGTGCCCACGCTCCCCCCACCAGGAGCTGCAGAAACAGGCGGAGACGATGGAGTTTGAGATCTCACTGAAAGCGCTCTCGGTGCTTCGCTACATCACAGACTGTGTGGACAGGTGGGCCACCCTCCAGCGCCTGGGGCATGCAGTAAAGGGCTGCAGTATTCGGCTTGTAACTTCTGCTAACCCCCCTTACCCCTACCTCTAGCCTTTCCCTGAGTACCTTGAACCGCATGCTCAGTACGCATAACTTGCCCTGCCTCCTGGTGGAGCTACTGGAGCACAGCCCCTGGAGACGGCGGGAAGGAGGTAAGGCCTCTCCCACCTGCCAGGACTTAACTGGCTGCTTCCAGAAGATCCTTGGGGTTAATGGAAGCAGACAGCTGGACCGCCCACACACTGAGGACACCAGCATGCCTCACCCAAAATGGGGCTAGAGTTTTGACTCTGAGGCAGACAAGTCCCGTGGACTTACCTTGTTCGGACAAGTGTGGTGGCCGGGGTCTTCTAACCGTGCCAGGCAGTTCTCAATCCTCCCATCCACACACTCCGGAGAATACAACGCCTGCATCCAGTGAGCTAGTTCTCCTCCCCAGGCAAGCTGCAGCAGTTTGAGAATGGCCGCTGGCAGACAGTGGCCCCCTCAGAGCAGCAGAGACTAAATAAGCTGGACGGGCAGGTGTGGATCGCCCTGTACAATCTGCTGCTCAGCTCTGAGGCCCGAGCCCGATACTGCCTTACCAGCTTCGCCAAGGGGCAGCTGCTTAAGGTGGGGAGCTCAGCTACCCTACCCATCCCTTCTGCCACCAGCCCCACCCTGCCCCGCCCCCACTGCATCGCTGCCTCACCCTGTCCTCTTTCCACTACGTCGGCTTCAGGGGACAAGGAGCTGGTGAGACTAAACCCTCCAAGTACCCCCAACCCAGCTTAGGGACTCCCTGTTTCTTGCCCCTCCGGCCAGGACCTGTTTCACAATGGCTTTCCCTGGATACCTTTGCAGCTTCAGGCCTTCCTCACGGATATACTACTGGACCAGCTGCCCAACCTTGCTGACTTGAAGGCTTTCCTGGCTCACCTGGCCCTGGCTGAAACCCAGCCCCCTAAGAAAGACCTGGTGTTGGAACAGGTAGGCACCCAGACCCTTAGTTGCTCAGGGCCATGATCCACTCTGCCAGCTCCTTCCTCTCCTCTCCCTTACTCTCTCTTAGATCCCAGAAATCTGGGACCGGCTGGAGCGAGAGAACAAAGGCAAATGGCAGGCCATTGCCAAGCACCAGTTGCAGCATGTCTTCAGCCCCTCAGACCGGGATCTGCGCCAGCAGGCACAGAGGTAAGGCCTGCTGCATGGCTGAAGACAGGTGCATGGGACATAGAGGGCATGGCCATAGCGGGAGGGCTTCTGTGCCCCTACCTGTCAGGTCCAGTCACATCTTCTTGGCCCCTCCCCCAGGTGGGCTGAAACCTACAGGCTGGACGTCCTAGAGGCCATAGCCCCAGAGAAGCCCCGCTGTGCTTACTGCAATGCAGAAGCCTCCAAGCGCTGCTCCAGATGCCAGAGTGTGTGGTATTGCTGCAGGTAAGGGGACCCCAGGACCTCTGTCCCCCTAAGCCCCAACCCTGGGTCCTCCCACAAGCACTGTCACCCTCATGCAACCCACCACCCCTGCAGGGAGTGCCAAGTCAAACACTGGGAGAAGCACGGAAAGACGTGTGTTCTAGCAGCCCAAGGTGACAGAGCCAAGTGAAGGCTACAGGTTCTGAGGGCCGACGGAAGAGCTCACCCAGAATGTGACTCTGAGCCTCAGGAACTCTGCCTGGCCCCTGTCAGACCTCAATTTCCCTGGCGGTGAGCACAGCTGAGTCAAGTAGAGCTGCAAACCACTACCAGTCGTACAGACAAGCAAAGGCTCTTCACTTCCTGCCCCACCCCGCGAATACGTAGAAAGAGAACCAGGCCTCAGCATCAGCAAGCAGACAGACAGGGCTGGGGGGTATAAGCAAGGGCCGGATGTGGAGACCCTCTTCCTTTATCACAGTAAAGCGGACCTCATGAAACACATCAGTATGGCGCTTTGCCCTCGTCGCTGGGGGCGGGGGAGGGGACATGGGGCGAAGATTGGACACAAAGCCTGGGAAGGGGCTCTTTGAAAGCGTCCACCCTTGTGCCGTGCCCCGCCCACTAGTCCACACTGTCAGCTCGCCTCGGTTTCCATTGCGTTCTCCGCCGCTCTTTCCCGCCGCCCTGCCTTGATCCTGGGGGCGGTGCCGAAGTGGCGGCCCGCCCTGCGGCCTCGCCCGCTAGCGCCCAGTCCTCTGGATCCCCGGTCTGACCGGGCCATGTCGGCGGAGCCAGAACTCATTGAACTACGGGAGCTGGCACCGTCTGGACGCATCGGCCCTGGCCGTACCCGGCTGGAGCGTGCCAACGCTCTGCGCATCGCGCCGTGCACAGCTCGCAATCCGTCACAGCAGCACGTCCCGGGTCGCGGCCACCGCTTCCAGCCTGCGGGTCCCGCCACGCACACGTGGTGCGACCTCTGTGGAGACTTCATCTGGGGCGTCGTGCGCAAGGGCCTACAGTGCGCGCGTGAGTAGCGGCCCCACGCAGCCTGCGATCACCGAACGGGAGGTCAAAGGCAGCACCATGGCTGCGGGTCAAGTCTCAGCGGAGGGGGTCAGCAGTGATGATCCTGCAGACCAGGTCCCGTTACCTTGCCCCATCAGGGAGCGTGTTTAAGAAAATGGTGTATCACTTGTCACACTTCGTCCGTGGCTGGCGCACAGAAGGTGTTGGTTTCAAGATCATCTTTAAAGAGCCTGGGCTCTTGAAAAGCCTTTGTGCCTACTGTGCCCTGAGCCTGCATTCCGAGGTCCGCCTCTTCCCAATGATTGGCTCACTGTGTTCCCCTCCAGATTCTTGGGTGACCACCCACATATGATAGGGGGGTAGAAAAAAAGTTAGAACCTTGGTTGGGCTCCTTGTAAGTAGGAATTTTGTTGAGTTTTTAGTCAAGTTTTGTCTCGACTCAGGGATCCAGAGGCTAAGACATGGAATACAAGCACACACACAGTAGTCCTTCTGGGGATTGCCAGCAAACAGAAGTTCGACTTGCCCGGGACACTTTATACCCTCCCATCTCCTTGTGTCTAGACCTTCTTCCAGACTTGTTGAGTCCATTGTTGAAAGTGGACCTTAGGCATTGAGGGTTTTTGTTGTTTTGTTGGTTGTTGTTGTTGTTTTGAAATAGGGTCTCACTATGCAGCCCTGCCTGGCCTGGAACTCTCTATTCAGATCAGGGTGTGACAGAGATCCACCTGCCTTTGCTTCCCACACTCTGATGTGTAGCTGGAGTTGTCAGTGCTTTGAGCCATAAAGGTGGGAACTTCAGGATGGAACTGTAGGCTTGTGCGTGCCTAGAGCTCATCTCATTCACTGCATGAGTATGCCACAAATTCAGCTAGTGGAGACAACGGTTTGTGAGAGAATGCCGCATGGAAGCAAGGGCTGTGGTACCACAACATTCTCAAAGAGAAATAAAGTCGCTCTGGAGATGAGAGATGGGACCACTTGGGTGTTTGACACGAGGTTGATAAGCAAATCAGACAAGTGTAGGGTTTTGCTTCAGACAACTGGACAGTCAGTGGTAACTTTTGCATCAGCAAATAGAAACCTGGGGCGGCTTCAAGTGGAAGAAAAGGGAAGTTTTGACCATGTGCATTTGAAATCTTTAGTAGATGTTAAAGTGAAGGAACTACATGTAGGATTTGTTCTAAAGAGGCAAATCAGTGCCACTTTAGACTTGGACATCAACTCTTAGACTTGGGAGTTGACACAGAGCTGAGGAAGGGGCTATGGAGAAGGAAACCTGGCTAGTGAGTGCTGTCCCTGGGAGCCAAAGGGAGTAAGCAACCAACGTTAAAGATATAGTAATCCCGGTAATGTGGACAAAGGCCAAACATTAGATGTGGCATTGGGCATTGGCACATATCTGTTAATCCTGGCACTGGAGAAGTTGGTAGAGGCAGGAGGATCACTGAGTTCAAGGTTACCATTTGACGCTAACCTAAACTACAGGAGACCCTTTCTCAAAAAGCAAAATAGGCTTGTGTAAACAAATGAAGAGGTAGATGGCAAACAGAGGAAGTCGTAAATTAAGCGCTTTTGTTTTCAAGTTAATGGTCAGGTGAAGTAGTAGCTGGGGTGTTAGCTCAGTGTTAGCTCTCTAACCGCCTAAGGCCTTCCAGCCGGTTTCCAGAGGTGCTTCGGACCGACGACTCTAGAATCTGTGTTGCGTGGGCGGTAACCGAGCTTGAGAAAAAGCCAGTCAAGCCCAAATCTGTCGGGCGGAGGCCCCCTGTCAGTGGGTCACTTCGCCGAGCTCCTCCGCCTCACGGCCAGCCCTTTCTGCAGACTGCAAGTTCACCTGCCATTACCGTTGTCGTGCGCTCGTCTGCCTGGACTGCTGCGGGCCCCGAGACCTGGGCTGGGACCCCGCATTGGAAAGGGACACGAACGTGGTGAGCTCGGGGTCCGGGGAGTGTGGGCAGGGAGGGGCCCCGGGGCTTAGTCCCGGCGCCGTACACAACGAACATCCCAATTACGGACTTCCCGGCATCAGAGAGACTAGTTCTGCTTGTGGGTTTGTCTGGAGCCTACCCCACGCAAAAACTATGGCCCGCAAACCAGTAGCCGCGAAGGCGCGCTCTAGCACGGTGCACGCTCACTTTTCACACCCCGCTTCCGGCCCTGGGGCAACGTCGGTGCGCCTGCGCATACGCCCTGCCGCCTCCCCCCGGGGACGTGGGGCCCGAGAGGCGGAGCCGAGTAGAGATGCCTCTGCGATGAGGTCACTCCTCGAGTAGTTGCGTGGTGTCCCCGCCCCTCGGCGTTCCCCCGCCCGTCATCCCCCAAACGACTCCAGCACTAGATTTTTAGTCGTCTACGTTTGCAGTCCTAACGGTCGCCGCGCGGCGCAGGTCTCAGCGCAAGCGCGTACTGACTCGCTCTCACGAACGCACGCGCTCGGGGCGGTGGTTGGATACTCCCCACGCAGTGGACTAGGGATCGGGCGGGCAGGGCGATGAGCGAGGCCGAGACGCCTTCCTTCGAAATGACCTGGAGCAGCACGACGAGCAGTGGCTACTGCAGCCAGGAGGACTCGGACTCAGAGCTCGAGCAGTACTTCACGGCGCGGACCTCGCTGGTCCGCAGGCCGCGCCGGGACCAGGTGGGAAGCCGGGTGGGGGCTGTCGCCGGCGGGCGGGGGGCGGTCGCTCCAATCCTGCCCGTCCCCGCTAAGTTGCGGCCTGGGGAGTTAGTTGATAGGCAGCCTCCCGGCGGGTCCACACGAAAACCGGCCGGGATGTGTATTGGGCTCTCTCTGCTCCGGGTAGAAAGAAGCTCAATTCCAGCGCGCCGGTACTGAGTCCCCAGGCTTCCCTGGCTTGCGGTCACAGACCGGTTGAGCCAGGGGAAGAAGCAGCTCTGAAGCTTGGGTGGACCAGAGGCGGGCGTATTCACCCCTGATTAAAGCCAGCCTCAGCCCAAACCGGCGTCTTGGTTTCGCATTTGGGCTCTCCTACTCCCTCCCTGGGGGAAATAAGGAAGTGGAGGAGGAGTCCGCCGGAAAGTGAGAAGTTTGTTTCGGAGGTGACTCTGTCCCTTCCACTTGTAGTCTTGAATCAGCCAGAAGAGTTCGCAGCCATTGCTGGGCCAACTCTGACACCAGCTGCTGGAATGTAAACGATTTTCCGATCTTCCTTCCCGAGTGAAACTTTGGTGGGGGTTTGGGGAGTCTAGTAAGAGGGCCCTTGCTGTGGACCTTAATAGGAACATTCCTAGTCCCATAGGGAGCAGGAAGACTATAAAATGCCCCGAGAAGGGTTTCTACCTAAGATTTAAAGTGTGTGTATCAGGGCAGCTGAACGTTCCTAGAGTCTCCTAGATGTGCCAAATTACCAGAGATTTTTCTGGGAGTATAGTGGTTGTGACCACCAAGCTCAGATAACTTGTTCTTGAGCCATAATACCTGAGAAGAGGGCATCAGGAGAGTGTAGTGAAGACTTAGTAAAGTGAAGGTTAGTAAACTTAGCAGCAGCGAAGTAGAATTCCTTATCCAAGCCAAAAAAAAAAATTCTGTGGTGTTGTAGGAGAGAGTTGATACAAATTTTTCTTTCCTTTCTTTTTTTCTTTTTTTTTTAAAAATTTATTTATTATGCATACAATATTCTGTCTGTGTGCATGTCTGCAGGCCAGAAGAAGGCACCAGACCTCTTTACAAATGGTTGTGAGCCACCATGTGGTTGCTGGGAATTGAACTCAGGACCTTTGGAAGAACAGGCAATGCTCTTAATCACTGAGCCATCTCTCCAGCCCCCCTCTTTCTTTTTTTCCAAGTCAGTGTTTCTCTGTAGCTTTGGAGCCAGTCCTAGAACTAGCTCTTGTAGACCAGGCTGGCCTCGAACTCACAGAGATCCGCCTGCCTCTGCCTCCCGAGTGCTGGGATTAAAAGTGTGAGTCACCACTGCTCAGCAATACAAATTTCTTAAAGATGGGCTGCTACTTGACACCCCAAAAACCTTAGTCCAGACTGTAGATTCAGTGTGGACCCCTGAGGTTGTCTCCATGTCTCTCAGCCTGAGTCATCTTCTATTATGGAAAGGTGGGAAAAAAAACACAAGGTGCTAGCAGGTTGAAAGGTATATAAAGAAAATAATTGTTTAAAAGCAGCTGAAGTTTGTAGCAAGCTCAGTTTGGAGAGTACTTACCTTGTATGGTGGCCTGGCTTCCATCCACAACACCATTAATGAACCAAATAGGTGGGTAGATGGATAAATGGAAGCTGAGAAGTAAAGTAAAATCATGAGGGCTGGGGTTAGAGTTCAGTGACTGAGTTCAGTGCCCAGCATGTGTGAGGCTGTGGGTTCATCCCTAGTTGACACCTTGTGAGAACTCCTGGGATGAGGCTTTGGTCAGTAGCAATCCTAGCTGTGTTTATTCCAATCGCATTCCCCAGGACCTCTCTGATGTCAACAGGAAGTTA